TTTGTTCTGCTGTGCATAAGGTCACTATGGGTCAGTACCGACTTGATAGCACCTAACAACAATAATCACTTTACATGCCTCTTGATATATGTAGTATCTGAAGATATAGAAGTAGAATTGCCAGATTGTAGGTATATGTGTTTAAAATATTAAAAATACAGTTAATTTGTCCTCACAAAGTACATACCATCTTAAAATGTCCATCAATCCTGCATATGGGGAATATCCTTAATTATGATGACTTCATTGGGCAAAAATAATTTATTATTCTTTTTCATTGAAAACTTTTTATTGTGAATTGAGCGAAGGTTTACAGAGTAGATCATCAGTTTTACATTCAACAAACCATATACTTTATATCACTGCATGGTTGGAATCCCCGCCATGTACCAAGAGCTAACAGCATTTGTCTCTATTCACTTTAACTATTGCATGCCTCCCGGTGTCTCTCGCTACCTTCATCTTTCCTCTGCTAACTTCCGTCTTGTATATTGCCTGCCCTGTCACCCATGTTAATATGTGTCTACCCCCTTGGCACTTAACAACAAGAATTACAACCCTCTAGTGCAAGGAGCTCTGGTAGTGTGGTGGTTACAAATCAGGCTGCTAACCTCAAGGTTGACAGTTCAAAACTACCAGCTGTTCCGTGGGAGAAAGATGGTGCTTTCTGCTCCTGTAAAGATTTGCAGCCTTGGAAACCACACTATGAATTGGAACCAACTCCTCGATACTTAACAACAACACAAGTGCATGAATAATTTTTCCTACCCGCCATGCCCTGTAACCATCATAGATTGTTTCTTTTATCAAGAAAACTTTTTTTTTTATTTTAACATTTTACATTGGTCTCATACAATGGTTGTCCTTTTGTGATTGACTAATTTCACTCAGCATAATATCCTCCAGGTTTAACCATGTTTTGAGGTGTTTAACAGATTCATGATTATTCTTCAATGTTTTGTAGTATTCCATTTTGTGTATGTACCAAAGTTTTTTTTGTTTTGTTTTTTTTACCATTCTTCTGTTGATGGGCATTTAGGCTGTGTCTATTTGATGGAGTCCTGGTGTGGTGCTGTGGGTTAATGTGCTGGACTGCAAAGTTGTTTGAACCATAAGGTTGGTGGTTCAAGCTCACCAGTTGCTCCTTGGAAACCCTATATAGGGTCAATATGAGTTGGAACCAACTTGACGACATTTAACAACATCTTTTTGATATGTGTCTTGCAGACAGCATATTGAAAGAACCCATTTTCTTATCCATCCTGCTTTTTTTGTCTCTTGACTGGTGCATTTAATCCATTTACATTCAGTGTAATCCTCAATAGGTATCCTAGTGGTTACGAATCAGGCTGCAAACCTTAAGGTCAGCAGTTCAAAACTCCCAGCTGTTCCGTGGGAGAAAGATGAGGCTTTCTGCTCCCGTAAAGATTTACAGCCTTGGAAACCCTGTACAGGGTCACTATGGGTTGGAATTGACTCGACAGCACTTAACAACAATGACAACTTGAATTGATCATTGTCATTTTTCTGTGTGTGTTTTTTTTGTGTGGTGCTTCTGGGTTCTTTGTTCCACATAATTTTCTATGATGAATTAATTTTGTTTGTGGATTTTGTCATTTTCATTTCTATTGTGTTAATGTTTACGAAATCTTTCTGATTTTCTCTTTTAAAATTTTGATGTACAGGTATATTATTTTTCTTTGAGTAATTTATTGATTATTTTCCTTGCTTAAAACAATCTGTTTTTTTCTCTAAATTTACTTGACTTCCTTGCCATTTGCAAGTTCTACATCTACACTACTCCCTCTGTATTTTACAGGTGACTGCATTATAAATTGCTATCTCTGGTTCCCTATTTTCAGTCTTGTAGGTTTGATTCAGGCTAAATATTTCAATATCTGGATTAAGTTCTGGGTGGTGTTGTCATGAGTGGTAATCTCATGTTGTCTGCTGTTGTTGGTTCTCAGGTCAAAGAACACTCTAGCATTTTTTACAAATTTGGTCTGGTCATTACAAATTCCTTTAATTTCTGTTTATCAGGAAATGACCTAATTTTGCCATGTATTTGAGGGACAGCTTTGATGGGTATATGATTTTTTTTGGCAATTTTTTTCTTTCAGTGTTTATATATGTCATTCCATTGCCTCCTTGCATGCATAGTTTCTGCTGAGAAATCAAGAGTTTATTCTTATTGGTTCTTCTTTGTAAGTAATATTTAATTTTCCTCAAGTTGCTCTCAGGATTCTTTCCTTGTCTTTGAGTTTAGAAAGTTTGATTATAATATGTCTTGGTGTTCTTCTTTTGGAATCTCTTCTGTTTGTGGTTCATTCAGCTTCTTGTATGCCTATCTTCTTGTTAAAGAAGTTTTCTTACAACAACTCTTTGGCAGCTTTCTCTGTGCTTGTCTTTTTCTGTTCTGGAATTTTGATCACCCATAAGTTGTAAGTTGTTCCTCTTCATGGTGGCCCCACACAACTCTTAGGCTTTCTTCAGATTTTTTCTTTCTTTTTTCAGATTGTTCTTCTAGTATACGCATTCTGAGAGATTTCTCTTCAAGCTCACTAATTCAGGCTTCTATTGCTTCACATCTATTCCTTTGCATTTTCAATGTATTGTCCATTTCTAAGATCTCAGTATTAATCTCCTGGATTTCTATTTACAGGTTTTGCATTGTTTCAAAATTTGCATTTATCTTGTCTGTCTGTTCTTGTAGTGTTTTCCTGAATTCTTCTAAAGATTTTATTGTGTTCTCCTTGTTTTCCTCAATCTTTCTATTGATCCTTTGAAGGTAACTAATTATCATTCTTTTCAATTCTTTTTCAGTTAGATCCATTACCTTTTCTTCCTCAGAAACATCTGGCTCTGCATCTTGGCCACTTGTTTGAGCCATTCTCTCTTGTTTCTTTGTGTGAGCTAAAATTGTCTGTTTGTCTCCAGGGCATTGTGGGGTTGTTGTACTTGTGAAAACAAACAGTGG